GCCGTGGAATGAGGCTGGCTGCTCCTTAAGTAGTGCTGGCCTCTCCACGTTGGGTCTGCATTGGCTCAGTTCGGCCTGTCCTTTTGTCCCAGACCCTGCATTGCATGTGTCCCAGAGCATTCCCAATGAAAAACAACTGCTGTGGAGGCCCTTTGGCCTGGATATGAATTTTGAAGTCTGGATCTGGACTGCCCCTACGACTCAGACCAGCCACTGGGACATAACTGTTGACTTCCTTTTGAAAAGTCACATCTTAGACGAACAGACACTAGCTTTGTACATACAGACAAAACCTTTCCTCTGTTCACGAACAGGCACAATGGCTACTCGTACAGACACACCTTATTCATAACCTACACAACTGCTGGCGAACAGATAAGTCTTTTGACAATGCCCTTTGCTTCAGGATGTGCCCGTTGGTAAAGAACTTGGACTCTTGACCTGCTTTTCACGTTTCTGAGCCCTGGCGAGACACCTTTTCAGGCTGCTTTACTTTTGCATGGCCCACGTTGCTTAGTTACAAGGCCTGAGGCCTATATTGGGTGAATAAAGCCCTTTCATTATTCTGGTTTTCATAGTTTTTAAATCTGAGAACTTCGTGAACTTCTACCGGGTCCTTAATTGAGGCCCAGTCTCCATATTGCCATCTCTGTTCAGATCGTAGTAGGCGTCTCCATTGCATGGGGATGCTTTCTATGATCTGATTAATGTTCATTTGCAAGTGATGAAGACCCTTCAGGGTTGGCCTGAGTTCCTTCTCAGTTTTCCATTCATTTGCTGTCTCATTCCAGATATGTTGGATCTGCCATACTCCTCTTTCTACCCAATGTCCCCATTTTGCCTCAGATTTGGAGAGAGAGAAGCTCGTGCCTTTCTCGTTTTTGATCTGGGGGTTGCCAAAGAGGGGTTGTAATAAGACTTCGTCTCTCTTTTTGGGGCCCGATCTGTTTTCTGGAAATATGTTTCTCCAGCTGCATACGATCTGGACCCAGTGGGATTTTGAAGGTTCGTGATCGTGGTTGTCCATCTGTGTTGAAATGGGGGTGTGCTTTCTTTTGTCTATGGGAAGTGCCCAGTGTTTCTTGAAGATCCAGAAGAGACCTGTCATGTTCTTGGGAGATTTGAAAGGGGCTATTTCCCTGATGTGATTCAGGGCTAAGGGTGTCCACTGGAGGTTGTCTTGGAGGGATATTCTAAGGATCCATTTGATTTGGAGGGCCTGGATTTGACGAGATGTGTCTATGAGACCAAGGCCTCCCTTGGTTTTGGGTTCGGTGATCGTTTGCCAGGCTACCTTATGGATGGAGTGATCGTTGTCTGGATTGCCTGCCCATAGAAAGGTTGTTGCCTTTTTCCTAATTTGGATTTGTAATTCTTCAGTTGGGCACCAAATAGAGGTGGTGTACCACATCATGGCTAGAATTGAGTTGTTCAGTGCTATAACTTTTCCTAATAGTGATGTGTGGATTCCTTTCCATGTGTGCATTTTGCTAATCATGGAAGATAATAGGGACGTTGTTGATGCATTGTGGGAGCCTTTTATGTTGAGGTTAATCCCTAGGAAACGGAATGGGATGGACGGATCCGCCCAAAGCATTCCTTCGGGGGTGAGTTCAATGGGTGGTGGGGAATCTGCTAGCCACCAGCCTATTGTTTTTTTCCAGTTCACTTTCATTTCGGAAGCCAGTTGGAATGCTTGCATCTGTGTTAAATTCGGGGCCGCCCGGCGGCCTAGCCTCCGTCCGGCAGGGGTCCCGGGCGGCCCGGCCGGTTGGGTCCCCCGGTTCGATGCCGGGCGGGCCCAGCGCATTTTTGCGCGGGGGGGGGG